TAGAATTTTATTTCTTTAGTAAAAAGCTTATTTGTACTACAATTAGGACTTTTTGATAAAAATTAGGATAAAATAATAGATTTTTACTATCGTATTTTATATAGAATAATGAGAATTGAAAAATTCATTTTTGTTCACGTATTTCTATTAAGTGTGCAACGACTAGAAATGCTGACCTGTCACTTATTGCTAAGCTCATGTAAGTTAGTAGTTTTTTATTAAATCAAAAGTTAACTTTTCTTAGATTTATTGTATAGGTACCTAGGCTATTTTCATGTAAATTGCACAAAGAAAGATAGATAAGTTACAAAAATATTTATATTGGCTTTTATGTTTTGAAACTGTTTATACAGCTTCAGGAATGAAAATCAATAAAATAAACAAGGTTTTTATTTTTAGTAAAAATTGTCAGTTTGACATAAAAAATCTTTAAGAGATATTAATAACCATTTCTTTACGTTAGGTATATCATAATTCATTTTCTGTAACAAAAACTCATAATAAACAAACAATATGAACGTGAGCATATTATTAGATCAAGGTAAAGCGTGGAAATAAAGCTAGTTATTAATATTAAAAAAAATTATTAAAACCAGCAATATTCGACTTTCACAAATAAAAGCTTAAAAATTAAATAAAACTAATAAGTAAAAGAGAAAACAAATGAAAAGCTTCCATATTAATATATTCCTAAAATGCAAATTGGTAATGAAAGCTCGCATTGTTTTGGAATAATGATGAAAGGTAATAAGATTTTCAAACTACCTACTTGTTGTATAAACCTCGTGAGAACGAAAATTACACTAAGTATCATAAGTAGGGCTTGATGTTATTAGAATTCATAAATCTCATCATAGTTCTCAAATTGAGTTTGTCAGGAAAATAAACTATGTAACTAAGAAGTGGCATATATTACTATATATACTCTATATTATCTTCTATATATCTATACATATAATAAAACTAGCGACTCACCCTTGCTTAGCTCGGGCTCGTCCCTAGGTTGATTCTCCATACAAATTTCTGTCCCCATTTTCACCCCCTTAAGGGATGATTTCCAAGATAAAAAATATCCTTGCCAGGGTCTCAAACTATCTTCTTACCAAATTTCATCTAAATCGGTTTAGTAGATCCAGAGATTACCCCCTTCAATGTCGCAAATATCACAAACTCACAAACTTTACCTCCTTAAAATATAAGTATAGATTGTAATTAAGCCGAATGTACTTTAAAAATATTTTGGAAAATATTATTGAAATAGATATGATTATCGATGTAGAGGTCAAGTCCATAGTTAATAGAATTTTTGTCTGTGTGCCTGTCTGTCTGTGACCGCATCACGGAAAAATCACTGGAGGGATTTCGATGATGTATAATGATAGCTGGCTATCCGGGTCAACATATAGAATATTTTTTACTGCGGGAAAATATCTGATCTCTAAGATTTTACTTTATTATACTAAACGTTAAAACGTAAGTTGGGACGAACCTGAGCGGAGAGAGAGTGAGTCGCCAGTCTTCAATATTGCACATGCTTAATCGGTACATAGTTGCATTCTTAAATAAAACAGTGACTTTTAACAATTATATATATATATATATGTGTATATATAACATAGCTTTTCTCACACTTGCCACACTCAAACAAGTCGCGAGTATTATAAATTTCATTTCATATAGACTAAAAAAATAAATTACTAAACTAAAAATAAACCGCCAGAGTAAAATGTGAACTAGAAAGATAGCAACAAAATGATGAAGGAACATAGTATTATGCACTCGGGAACATGTAACAAGTATAAAATACTCATATCAAGGCAAATCTATCTATAATATATAATACATCAAAATTGGTTAAGCCGTTTGGGAGTTACGAAGGAATAAAGGGCAGATATACATATATTTCTCTATTTCATTGCTGTCGGTTAGAAATGATCAAATTTTCAGACATGTATGTAAATTATACGTATGGACTGCCAGTATAATAACAGTTCAAATTAGCTTCATCAATATTTAAAAAGAACAAGTGCTTTGATATCGGTCTATGTACATATATTGTATAATATAATTATAAAGCACCCGAATAGCCAACTAGAAACAACGCCGACCTTTGACATTACGTTGAAATAATGTCAATGTAAAAGTACAAAAATAACATATTATTCGATAGTAAAATAATTACAGGCAATAAATTTTAGTACAGTATAATCTACAAATACTAGGTATTTCATATTGAATAATAGATTTTGCCAGTTCTTGGGACTAAGGCCTTTTTTTCGGACTGAACATGGTGTGATTAAACTTAAACAAGTGAGTGATGTTTCTATGCGTATATCCTGTTTTTTTTAAACTAGCGGCTCACTCTTGCTTCGCTCGGGTTCGTTCGTTGGTTAAATTAACATAACTTTTTTAATTCTTTTTTTATTTATTTATATACCAGAAAAAAAAACATACAAGTGAAAACGGATACTATGTGTACAAAGGATGACTTATCTCTTTAAGAAGGGTCCACCAGAAACCCTCAAGCGTGAGAAAATATAAAAATATAATAATGCGGTGCGGTGTTTTTTTACTTATAAACCGATTGAAATAAGACAGATACTAAATATTAAGTGAAGCTTATCACAATACATTAGTGGAAACCGCACCCAAATCGGTTTAATAGTTTTCGATTTAATTCCATTGCGTTAATAAAGTTTATCTCAAATATTTTCCATGTAGAGACAGCGATCAGTTACAATTTCATTATATGTATAGATTTAAATATTACAACGCAAAATAACAAGTTTACACACTTGACTGGCATTTACTAGGAGACATTCTACCTAAGCACACTTCACAAAAATTATTGTTAAAGCAAAAAATCTTATGGATCAAGAATCGCCAAGATAATATATTGAATCCACATACTTAGTAATTAGTAATCGTATATTTTGACTTAACAAAATTAATACGAGTATAATGATTGTCAAAAATATTACAATATAACATTTTGGCTTCTCCGATTCGTTTTTAATTATTTCTTAAAGCGCTTTAAGGATAATTTATGACAAAAATATAGAGTCATCAAATATTATGTATTAAGATAATTATCGTAATGGTTTTCCTTGTTTTATTTTTATTTCAAAGTATTTTTTGATCTGAAATACTTTCTCAAAATACTATACAATAAATACTTTAAGGCAGTGGCAGCCCAGTAGTAACGTGCTTGCTTGGAAAACCTTGGCCAGCGTTGTGGATTTTGGCTTGAACCCTCCCATATTGAAAAGAGGCTCATGCCCAGCAATGGGACGAAATAAAGGGCTAAATAAATACATAGGTACGTTTTCCTATATTATTATAGTACGAAAAAAAACACGAAACTCTATCTCGTCTGTATTTTCATAAGTTTGGATTTTGATTTTATAACTGAATAGATCCAGATTTAAAAATGCGTAGACAAACAAACAAACTCTTCAGACGTAGTAATATATATTAGTTTAAAATTTATGAAGATATAGCGTATAGGCTAACTTAAATCATGATGCAGCTTTTAGAACCTGAGTAATTACAACATATTAAGTAACCACCATGTCTATCCGTTTGTCTGAACGCTATAAACTCCAAATCTACACATTTTTATACGGTTTTCACCAATGTTTTGACGGAATGGAGGAAGGTGTAGGTGCTTAAGGTTTTGTGTAAATTGGCTGAAATATGAGCATTGTTCAAGATATCGGAAAAAATCATGCTGATTGGGAGTTATACTGGCGTACGCTGCGTAAACCAATAGAGTTATATGAAAACAATGTATTACGAAATTATTCGTGCCCAGGGACGCAACCGGAAGAAGCGAGGGTAAATCTCCAGTAAAATATAAACACATTACTCGAACGGGGCCGCGAGCAAAAGTAAGTCTATAAATTTTAGCTTTAAGCCGTCCTTTTCGATATATGTACTTTATAAAATGTATATATTTAAAGTTATATACGAGTATGTGTGGTGTATCAAATATCTGGCTTACCATGGAGCCTCGTAGCTTACCATGGAGCTAGATGGTGCTGTGTGTTAATGTCCCAACATGTTTATTTATTTAATAACTATGCCAGGTATAGTACTCTATCTTCAGGTATAGTATTGTAGGATACTAGAGACTTACACTCGTTTCGTTTGGGTGCGTCCTTGAGTGCCTTACAGAAGCCTATGTGCTATTTTAGGTCTTTGTTAGCCAATATATTATTCAATCTCATCCCGAACCGTCTAGCCGTTTCAGCATAACAAGCAGACACACACTCAAAAAATCTTTGTATATATTATAATAGTAGTTCGGTATAAGAATTATTATTCAAATGACTTCTCGGAATTTTATTTCCAGAAAAATATACAAATAGATCAAATAAGATCGTTAAAATACTCTCAATGTAAATGTCGTCTCATTTCTCCTTTTATTTTTCGCTAAGATCAAAGGAACAAGTATTTTGGCAAACGTCGTCTTGGAATGACTTTAGTTCATACATATCATGTTATTATTTGGATTGTTTGTAAAAATTCCTTACGTCTTTGATGTTTAAGCTGTGACTGAGATCATAGTTGTGTCAACCACGTACTACGACCATAATACAATATACATAGTATATGATGGTCGTGGTCATGCTAATATTAAATTATGGTCGTTGTGATTATGGTCGTGACTCGTGGTCACGATCGCCTAGTATAATTTAAGAGTTATTTTGTTACCTACGAGAAATATTTTAAACTTTAAGACACTAAAATTTATTAAAGTGTTATCATGATAGTGTATAATTATAATGTTTTAGAGAAGGATTCTGAAGATGAGTATTCTTCTTCTTATTATTTTCTTGATAATATTGCATAATTGCAAGGAAATAAAATTAAATTTAAATGACATACATATCATTTTGAAGAATTTAGTGCAAGTAGATGAACCAAGATCTAGAAGGACACATACTTAAAAAAAACTGTTTAGCTAAAACCAAAATCGAATAATAGACCACTTTTACCTTTGTCAAAATCTCTTGAAGAAGGTTTCTTCAGCAATATTGGCTCATGGTCTTCCCTTCTCCATGTAATTTTTGGTGGAGGATGGCCGGTAGCTTTACACGTTAGTGTTGCATTTTCTAGTTCTTGCACTGAAACGTCTCCTGATGTATCATCACTAACGATATCTGGTGGCACTGTGGAAAAAAAATATTAAATAAGCTATATTTATATCACACAGGTAAACTTATCAATTTGACAATAGAGGGTTCAAACCGGGACTACTGGCTTACGAATGTTAACTTATTATAAAAAGTTATTATATCTTTGTTAAATGTCGTTATAATTAAATATCTATTATGTTTAATGTGGCAGAATAGGTGCAGGCAGCAGTGGCCCAGTGATGATACACTCGCTTGGGAAACCGAGTAAAGCGGGTTCAAGGAACATGTCTAAGAGAACTTAGTAAGTTTTCAAAAGACATGTTAAGTCTGCCAACCCGCAATTGGCTAGTGGGGTGAACTATGGCCTGATCCACCTCGTATTGAAGGGTGCCTCCCTTCAAGCCCAATGCTCAGTGTGTTCGCGCCCAGCAGTGGGACGTTAAAAAGGGCTGAATACATGTTAAATTAATATGTTCGGCAGATAAACCTTTTTTCATTGTATATTGTTTTGTTCCAAATATTACTATATATTATTTGTAATATTTTGATCAAAATAAATTACAACAAAAAACTAATATGCAGCTTATACTTACAAGGATAGTGTGCCTACGCATAAAAATGTTATTCCTATAAATATGTCATTCCCATAAAATTTTAAAACTCGGGACGTAATGAAGATCTAAGCAAGGTGAGGGTACTTAACTAGTATCAAAAATTACTGCATTAAAATGCTCCCAAGTACTCGTAGGTATTAAATTTAAATGGAATAAATTGTAGTTATCATTAAATAAATGTCTATATGGTATATATATATATATATATATATATAGTACGGTGATCTGGCGAGGTTTGAGATAAAGAACGGCGTTGGGAACTGTCACCGAGAACTGGCTCGCCATAGCAACAAGGTGAGTGAGATCTTAGGATGGTGTTTCAATAGAACTTTCTTCACAAAAATATCATCTTTCAACATTTGAAAAACGATACTTACCATTAATTATAAGCTATATAGCAGTTTAAACGAATTAAGACTTAATAAAGTTAATAATATCGCATTTTCTCTCTACACTTTAAAATGAAGTAAAACACTAAAAATGCATAAATCGAATTCTGCAATCGAATTCTTCACGCTTAGTTATGCATTCAAATTTAAATAAAATTTTCCTTTTCCTAAAATCTCGATTTTAGTACTGTAGATATAAAATGTGAAAGTAAATTCTAAAAGCTTTCATAACATTTTCGACGTTCTCTATGCACGAGAAATCTTACGTATCTATGTATAGTTTGAAGCAGAAAAATTTGACATATCATTCAAATCGTTTTTAACTTAGCTAGCTTGGAACATTTTCACATCGATTTCTCATTTAAAGTATGATAAAAATATATCTTTGGATAAAAAAATGAGTGCGCGTACCTTTACGCGTTTCGTCAAAAATTGGCAACTTTGTGTTAGCCTCTGTGCATATTTATGTATTTACTGATTATTTTTTCTTAATTTAAAACATTATCTACATACGTTTTTGATTATGATTCGTTGCAATCTATACCTACTTATATTATAAACAGGCAGAGTTTGTTCGTTTGTTTGTCTGTTTGTTTGTTTGTTTGTTTGTTTGTTTGTTTGTTTGTTTGTTTGTTTATTTGTTTGTTTGAACGCGCTAATATCAGGAACTATTAATCCGATTTGGAAAATTCTTTTTGCATTAGATAGCCCGTTTATTGAGGAAGGCAATATCCAAGGAAGCGGAGCAGTAATCATAAATGTCAGCAAATCGGGCAGACTTCATACATTATTGTAAAACTGATGTTTAAATAGGAACTTTGAACGTGAATAAAGCCGCGGGTATTACTAGTATATAATAAAGAAATGAGACAAGTCTATCTCAATATGAAAATTTCTGACTGTTTTGTCACAAGTGATAAGTATTCATATTTGAAAGAATTTAGAAAATTTATATAAAAAAATATGTGACTCATGACTTATGGTTATAGAATTAAGTATAACCTTGTACACATAAAGTGTAATTAACACTTTTGGTTATGAAGCAAATAAATATAATATGATGATAAATTTGATGATAATATTTAGGCCTATTTCTTAATCCATACTAATATTATAAATGTGAAAGTGTATTTGTTTGTTTGTCCTTCTTTCACGTCGAAACAGAGTGATGGTTTGGCGTGATTATTTGTGTAAATACAGTTGGAGAGCTGGAGAGTGACATAGGCTACTTTTTACTGCGGGAGATTATCTCATTCCCACGGCAAAATACGTTATAATACAATCCAAAAAATATTTATGATCAGAATAACTTGAAACTTCGTATTAATGCTCTTTAATAAAATTAAATAAACACGTGTTTTAGCATTTTTCAAAATTCATCCTATAAGGGGGTAAAATAGGGGATGAAAGGTTGTATGAAACCTACCTTTTACATATTTTTTGTAGTTTTATCACGAGCGTAGCCGCGGGCTCTGCTAGTATTTATATAAATATGTAAAATGACAGAGGCTTTACTAATTCATAAGAGTAATAGGACAATTATTTGTGAGTAGGTGCCGTCTGTAACAACTATATAGTGATCTTTAAGACGTCTAAAACCTTAGTCTCTCCCGTAACCATGATTGCTATGAAGTATTCGAAACTTCGCGTGGGGAACCAAAAATCAACATAAATCCGCGAAAAAATCCGAAAAGATATTTTTATTTAATATGTGAAATATTCGCGTAAATATGCGAAAGTATTATATATTAATGTTTTAAATTAAAGTATTTAAATATAATTGTGTATAAGTTTTTAAACCATTTAATATTTATTTATAACCTTAATATTATTTTTAACTAACGGCTTACCGTCGCTTCACATAACTCATGTTTAAACGAACAACTAAAGTTTCATCACAATAGATTGAATGATCTAAGAATAATTGCATACAAACATACAAAGAAAATACATCTTTATTATCTATACTAATATTATAAAGAGGTAAAGTTTGTGAATTGTGAGTTTGCGACGTTGTAGGGGGTAATCTCTAGATCTACTGAATCGATTTAGATAAAATTTGGTAAGAAGATAGCTTGAGATGCTGGAAAGGACATAGGATACTTTTTATCTCGGAAATCATCCCTTAAGGGGGTGAAAATGGGGATGAAAGTTTGTATGGGGGATCAACCTAGGGACGAACCCGAGCGAAGCGAGGGTAAGTCGCTAGTAAAATATAAAAGCAAATATAAGTTGGCATAAAAAAATAATCTTTTCAACCGATAATCCGAGTAGGCTTTATTATTCGATATAACATGTATCCATCAATCATAGCGGATACATGGAGAAGAAATTAAGCCTTTATTGACAGTGTACGCGGTACGACAGTATATGGACGTAATTTGTTGTGCTACATTTGGGCCAGTTTATTTCGATTCACATTTAAATTTTCAACGTTTATTTGAATATCTTACGGTATTGTGTTGGATTTATTTTTGATGTATTCAATTTGACATTTTGTCATGTAATTTTGACCAGATGTTACAGAAAATAGTGAAAGGTTGTTGATATTTGACCTATCACTTAATAGCTTTATAACACGTTCTTTTCATAATATATGTATACTCGTAGAGGGAGCATGTTAATTTTTAGTTATGTCCTAGTTAGAAGCTTGGTATTTTAATATATTTATACCTAAGTATTATATTTGCATGTCAAAATCATACGTATATTTTATCTATCCATCTATACAGATAAATAAAATTGAACTGTCTGTTTGTAATGTCAAAATTACAGTTTTTTAGTAAATACTTATGAAATTTTATACGGCACTTATAAGAAAAATACAATTTTTTATTTTTTGTATCTCTGTCTGTTTGTTTGTTTGTTCCGGCTAATCTTTGAAACGGCTGAACTAATTTTAACGGGACTTTCTCTGGCAGATAGCTGGTGTTATAAGCTACATTTATTTTAGAAAAAGAATTTGGATTCCGTTCAAAAAAATTAAAACGTACCTAGGGATGTAATTCGCTAGTTTACAATAAATTAAATTACAAATATACACTTAATTATTACTGTTCAAGTCATTTCCGCGTGGAATAATGGCAAGAATTCTAGCAGCATTCCCCCGCTTAATGGCCATGACGATTCTTTGAGCGTAAAAACGAGCCAGCTCTCCTGTTACCAATAGAGGCAATAAGTCAAAATGTTAAAGACATAAAGAATTTAAGAAGTATTAAGCACTTTGACTCCCTGGGCCAAGGGTTTTTACAGCGTTTCTAATCATACAAGGGTTTGCCAATTATGCTTATTAATATCTATACTAATACTAGCGGCTCACCCTCGCTTCGCTCGTGTTCGTCGCTAGGTACATTTTGAATAGATATAAATGGTTATTAGCCAGCGTAAGCCATATTTTTTTTCGTTAATTTTTAATTTTTTCTCTTTATTAAAACCTTCCGTAGACCTTAAGGAATATATGAAAAAAATGGCCGAATTAAATTGAAAAAAAAAATATATAATAAATAATAATTGAAAAATAATAATAAATAATAATTGAAAAAAAAGCCATTCTTGAGTTATGCGCTTACCAACATTCATTTTTATTTATATAGAAGAAGAAGATTATTAAGAGACAGAATTTGTTTGTTTGCTTATTTGAACGTGCTAACCTCAGAAACTATTAATCCGATTTGAAAAATACTTTTTGAATTAGATAGCCGATTTATTGAGGTAGGCTATATTATATGATCATGCTACTACCCAAGAGAGGGGAGCAATAATTATAAATGTCAACAAATCGGGAAGTTTTCTACACATTATTGTAAAACTGATGTTTATATCGGAAGTTTGAACACGGGCGAAGCTGCGGGTGTTGCTAGTTATAAATATACATTTTAGATTTTAAATAAAACTATCTTTTCGGATTATTTCGCGGATTTATTTTGATTTTTGGTTCCCGACGTTTCGAATGCTTTACAGCAATCATGGTCACGGGAGAGACTCTACCAAAAATCAAAATAAATCCGCGAAATGAGCCGAAAAGATAGTT